GTTCAGGACCGAAGCATGGCCATATTGCAATGCTTGACGAAAGGCCAATTGGATAAGGCCTTGGATGCCGGGCTTACCGAAGAAACGCCCCTAGGCCAATTATGCCGAGAGTTAGGACAAATGTTGAAGCCGAGGATATCGAAAGGGCCGGCACTGGACCAGATGTACACACGCTGTATGCTACCGGCCGAAACTCCTAACGAGTATGCAGCGGAACTGCGGCGCCTCTGCAGAGCAGCCTACCCCTCGGTCTCCGAGACGGACTGCAGTGACGCAGCTCTTCATTTCTTTGTGAAGAACATAAAACATATGGAGCTACGTCGTTCCCTGCTCCTACAACTACCCCAGAATTTACAGGAGGCGGTGAGCCGAGTAGAACACTACTCGGAAATGACAGTTATCAAAACCGACTACTAAACCAGTCCAGCCAACTGCCCTGCAAAATCCAATACGGGCAACAACTGGCACCGGTTCAGCTATAACCCACCAAACCGGGCCGCAGCATTCCAGCGGCCACAGTACCCCGGACGTGGAGGGTATAATCGGTTTCCCAACCCGCAAGTCTGTGCATGCAACAACGAGCGAACAACTTCCTTCTGCGAGGAAACCACATCGGGTACCTACTCTATCCCAATTGTATCTCAAATTCATACGTTGGTAGAGCCCTTTTGCACTGAGATTTACGTAAATGCTAAGCTTGTTAAAGCCTTAATCGACACTGGGGCGAGTAGGTCACTAGTTAACCCGCGAGTACTGTCACGGAGACAGCACTTCTACACTTCGCTTCAATCGCTTAACTACTGCATCGGTTAACTGAAAAGGTCGAAAATTTGACTGGACTGTCGAATGCCAAAGTGCCCTCGGCGAATTGAAAGCTTGCCCGGTATCCGCGTCTATACTCACCCTGTCGAACTCGGACGTCGATGGGCCACAGTTTATCCTTGATAAGAACTTCAGTGGGTCTGCCATAGGTGCAATACTATCGCAGGCCGATTCCACTGGAAATGAACGACCAATATGCTTCGCTAGTAAGACGCTGTCGAAAACAGAAAGTAACTATTGTACATACAGTCGCGAAATTTTGGCCCTGATAACGTTTGCTAAACAATTCCGTGCATTCCTAATTGGTAAACCCTTCATCGCTCGAACTGAGCACAAAGCATTGCAATGGTTACAAACTACAAAAGACGCGGAAGGGCAGTTAGCCTGGTGGCAGGAAACGCTGCAACAATTTACGTTCTCATGCCGGTTCCGACCAGGGACTAAACACACTAACGCCGATGCGTTGTCCCGAGGCTCCGACGGGACATCCGCGGAGACCCAGATACTCTATGCTACCGTGAATACGATACACATAAGCGAACCCACCCGGTACCATTGAGCTGTGGCACAGAGCACCTACACTGACACGGCCATCATATATGACCACCAACTTAAGGGCCGACACCGACCGACGTACGATGATCTCAAAGGATCATCAGAGGCCGCACAGGCCCTGCGCAGCCAGTGGCCCCACCTCTACACGCTGTTCATGAAGAACCACATTATTTCCTCACCTCGCATTGTGGTACCAGGAAGCATGGTAATTCCGGTCTTGACGGATCTTCACCATGAGCTAGGTCATGTAGGGAAGGCTAAAAGCGAAACAGCAGCCAGACAGAGATTCTGTAGGCACAAGCTCCGCCAGCAGGTCATTACATAGTGCAACACGCGTCCTATCTGTGCGGCTTTCAGATCACCACACCAACGGTTCCGCGCCTCTTTACAGTCCATGTCGACAGGTTTTACGTTCCAGAGAGTTGGCATGGACATAAGTTGGGCGGGTAATATCGATCCAAGTGTGATTAAACTCATGGCGTGAAG